AGTAGTCAATGTAATAAAACTGGAACAAACCCACCCAGGAAGAAAATAGTTTACTGCTCGTGTTTTATTTTGTTAGTTTTAATATTTATTGTTGCATGTAGCTCTGAATTAAAGAAGGCAGCAAGCATGTAAACCACTATAAATAATGAATAATGCTAATGGAAAAGTTTATTTTTTATTTTAGTTAGATATTCGTTTATAATGATCCTCTGTCCTAACATTTGGAATGTTGCTCAACTAATACTAGATAGAAGGTCTGTGCAATTCCAGAATACTTTCTTACATTGCAGTGTTAAAAACAGCCATCAGATGTTAAAATACAAATTAAATTATTGGAGAGTCTTCATGCAGTGCAGAAATCAATATATTGAGTACAAAAAGTCAGCAGTAGTCCTAATCGAATTAGTTTAAAAATTAAAGTTCAAACAAATGATTGCTTTTTCTTTTTTGGCCTGTTATACCCACTACAGTCCTTGGAGGAGTTTTCCATTAAGAAGAAAGTCAAAATTCCTTTGAATCAAGCTCAACTCCTCCATGTATACATCTGTGTAGTTTTCTTGGCTATAACATAGGTTGTTATTGCCATCTTCTGGATTTTTTTTCTTTCTGACCTCCAAATCTGCCCCACAGTCCTGGGATGTTTTTTTTATAATCTTCTATTCAAATAGTAAAGATGTCTGATCCCTGCTTTAGCGTTTAGTTGAGATCAGCTAGGTTTCTTCATTCATAAATTACAGGTCCTAAATCTGCAGATAATTTTACAGTCTTAAAATTTACACTAACTTATTTTAGCACAGAGAAATTACATACATTTGGAGAATGAGATAATAAAAAAATGCCTGCCTTGCTCAACTCTAGATCAGTTCAGATTATACATATATTACTAAAAGTCTTGTTTCTATAACTTCTAACTGGGCAAAACAAGATATCATAGGGTAACAGTTGTTGAATCAGGGTACCTCAAATCAAGGCTTACAAAATATATTCAAAATCTGGGACCCATGACTCAAATGGAATGAAATTTGTGGTTTCCTCAGTCACTGGGCTGATGCAGCAATCACATATCCTCATTATCAACATTCTGTGACAATTTTCCAGCCATTCTTGTAATCCTTTGTGCTCTGCAGCAACAGCCACTGCCTGCCTACTGGGAAGGAAGGGGAATGTGAAGGAGAAGAGAGAGGAACAAAGAGGAACAGGGAAGAAGGAACCCCTACACATCATTTCTGGTCCATGCATACTCTGCCTTACTTGCGCCTTCCCAGCACCACCTCTTGCATACCCATACGCACCATTATCAACTTTTGCAATCTCCCATGTGCCTTCCCTGGCTATTGCGGCATATCTTACATACACTTTTATGCAGGGGTGGGATTCAAATTCCTTAACCAGCTCTATGGGTGTGGCTTGGTGGATATGTGACTGGGTGGGTGTGGCTTATACATAAATATTGTAAATATTTGTGTAAATAGTGTGTGTGTGTGTGTGTGTGTGTGTTTTCTGAAGTTTTCGCGGGTATTTGTATGTGGATCTTTGGTTATTCGGGTCTTCTCCCACGTAAAATTGGAAGTTTCTAGGCGATGTTTCGATGAAGTCTCATTCATCAACTTAAGGCTTGTGTCTTCGGCTTTGTGCTTCTTGGAGTAATGTGAGCTTGCAGCTGCTTCTTTTAACTGCTAGTGGGGGTGTGACTTGATTGGGTGGGGGCTTGGCTGTGTTCTGATTGGGTGGGGATGTGTTCTCATTGGTTGGGGGTTTGGCTGTGTTCTGATTGGTTGGGGGGTTGGCTGTGTTCTGATTGGCTGGGGGTGTGTTCTGTTCATTTGGGGTCTTGGTTGTGCTCAGGTTAGTCTTAGTTGCTGGGGGATTTGAGCTGGTGAGCTGTGATCCTGCTGTTTGGCTTTGCGTTCGTGGTCGTGCCACATCTTCATGGTGGGCGTCAGTTCATGATGTGGCACAACCACGAACGCGAAGCCAAACAGCAGATCACAGCTCACCAGCGTTGCCAAGATACTTCCAATTTTATGCAAGAGAAAACCCGAATAACCAAAGATCCACATACAAATACCCGCGAAAACCTCAAATATATATATATATATATATATATATATCGCGCAACATTAAGCACAATAAATATATATATATATATATATATGTTTGTTTTTGTAGATTTTCACGGGTACAGGTATGCAGGTCTTGGTGTGTTCGTGTCTTTTCTCATGTAAGATTGAGAATATCTTGGCAACGTTTCGACGAGGTCCCACTCGCCATCTTCAGGTTGGTGCTTTTGGCTTCGTGCTTGTGCAAACAAAGTGTGATCAGAGCTGCGTCTCCCTTTATGTACTGATGGGGAGATTGGCTGTGTTGTCAGTTCTTGATTGGTTGATGGAGTTGATGTTTGCATATTGGCTGGCTTTTTTGTAAGAATATGTGTGGCTGAGATATTGGCTGTGTGTCTATCCGCCTCCTGTGTAGTAACGACCTGGGTAATGGGCTGTGTGATGACCTTCGGAGTTCTATTGTTTTGACATCCTGGGTCTTGTGCTGTAATCTCCTGAGTCGTTGCCTGTGTTGTGACATCCTGAGGTTTTGTGGTGTAACCTCCTGAGTTCCATGATGTGTTATCCTGAGCAGGTGGCTGTGATGTGACATTCTGGGTTTTGGTTTGGTCCAAGTTTGAGGCCTGGCTATGTGTTCATGGCGTGTGTCAGTTTGCCTGGTTTGGGGGTCGGGGTGTGTGGCAGCTGGTGATGCAGCCATGGTCTGGTTTCTGGACAGTGGTTGCCTTTCGTCTATGGGGTGGGTTTGGGTTTGGGTTTGAGTCTGGTGAGGGAGATTGGTGGTGGCATCATGTGTTGTTTTGGGTCCGGTGTTGGTTTTCGTGGCTGGGACTCGTTTGTTAATAAGGGCTAGTTTCCAGTTGTCTGGTAGGCGGGAGGTCTCATCCCATTTATTCACGTTATGGGTGTGTGTTTATATATATATGTATGTATGTATGTATGTATGTATGTATATATATGTGTGTGTGTGTGTGTATGTATGTATGTGTATGTGTGTGTGTATTTTTGTATGTATGTATGTATGTATGTATGAGCAACTTTTATCCAAAATAAGGCAAGGCAGATTGAGTTGCTTACGGAATCATAGATTCACTCAGAGATCTACCTTTCTGCAATCTTCTGCCTGAGTCTGCACTGAAAAATAGAAGCTTCAATCCTAAGGAAGGTTCGGCTCTGCTCTCAGGCCACATATCCCCCACCCCCACAATCCCCTGAATACCACCCCTGACTGGGCCTCGGGGAAGCCTCCTGGGCGAAGGCAAAGCAGAAGAACAGCGATTTAGATTAGCTAGAAAGCAGAAATCCAACAGGAGGGGGGGAGGGGCCAGTCCGTGGCGCGATTTGCCGGTTCTCCGAACTGCACAGAATCGTAACATCTGGTTCTATAGAACTGGTCCGAACTGGTAGAATCCCACCCCTGCCTTTATGGATTTATGCTTCCTCCCATACACTGTTTCCCACCTGGCTAGTACCTCTCATGCACTCCCATATACCCACGCGCACTCTTTCCAACCCACACCTTCTCCACATGCCCTGCCCAGCCCGCCTGGCATCTCTTTTATTTTTGTGATCGCCATGCATCCTTGACTCATGTTGCCCCTTTGCCCCTTACCCAACTCATGCAGCACCTCTTGGATACCATCATGCACCCTTTCCACCCACACCACGTACCCTTCCCGACCTGCAGGGCACCTGTCATGCCCTTCCCATACCCCTAGGCGTGTCCCCTCGCTCTCTTTCCTACCCAGCAGAGCCGCTTGCTTGCCTGCAGGCTTTGGACTAACAGAAGCTCCCCTGGAAGCTTCTTACAAGCAAAGTAACTGGGAAAGCTTGTAGGAATCCGAGAGAGGGAGGGAGAGAAGTAACGATAGGATAACAGGGTGGGAAGGTTTCAGTGCTCCCTGCCAGCTTCCCACAAGAAAATTGAATGGTGAAGCTGTTAGGAATTCAGAAGTCACTTCTCATGCCACTGCGGATTTGCCCATCTGTGGGTCCTTTTGTTTCTTTGTTTAGCTAAGGAAATATCATTGAAACAATGACCCAAAGGGGCCACAGCTTGTCCAGTGTATGATATAAGTGAAAGAAAAGGGCGTTATTCAGTGAAAGGACACTTCTATCTCATTAGTGTTATTTAAGGATTTAATTTTAATCTCTATTATTGTTGAGATGAAAAGGAACACAGTAGTTAGAATAAAGGATTATGTCCTTATAAATTATAAGCACGTGTTACTCTTAAGATTGGGTCAAGTTTTACTAAATCTTTTTTTTTTTAAAAGATGGATACACATTATAGAGGACTTGTTGTATAAGCAAATAACTTCTAATCCACCTAAAAACTACAGTGCAGGTAGTCTTCATTTAGGGACTATAATTTGGACCTGCAATTCAGTGGTTAAGCAAAGTGGTGCTAACTGAAACAGCTACTCTGCTTTTGATATTTCTTCAGCTTTCCTTTGCTTTACAGACATGTGAAGGTTATATATGAGAGAATTTTTTGCAAAGTTACTTTTTCATTTTGTAATTGCAGTTAGTCACTATGAGGCAGTCACTAAGCAGTGATCCCCTGTATATGTGTGTAATTGTGGA